TAGTTAGTAAGTAGTAATAGTAATAATACACCAATAGCGACCATTGTGTATTATGATTGTGCGAATTATTAAAGCGCAACGTGTGATGAATTATGTATTATGGATTTACTATGTGTAGTCAGAATGAGTCTTTTTTGTAACAATAGAAACAAATATGGAGTTGAAGAATCCAAATAATTAATTCGCGCAATGACCAATTAATTGGTAAACTCGGCTGAATTTAAGGAAAAGATGGATGAATAGATATCTTTAAAGAGGGAAGGAGATACACACACACACACACAGAGAGAGAGAGAGAGAGAAAGAGAGAGAGAGGGAGGGAAGGCAGGGAAGAAGGGAGGAAATTAAAAAACGTTAGTATCATGTGTTACAATGAATCGATCCAAGGAATTAAATATATGCATATTTTTCACGGTCAATTACATATTGATACATACTAGTGGTGTTGAGAAATGTCAAAATTTCGGTGATAGTGGTTGGTGTGTTTGGTGATGATGGTAACATAACGAAACCGTGTACCTTTTTGTGTATATATTATTATTATTTGTTGTATTCGGTGGGCAGTGTGTTTGTGTTCAGACGGTGAGAATGAGATACAGGTTCGTTTTCCACCACCCAACTTCTTATCGTTATCCTTTTTCGTTATACCTAAATTCGTGGATTAGCGTTAGTGATGGTTTTTTTTACCAATCGGATAAACCTTTAGCGTTTTTTTTTTAATAACGACGAGATATTTCTGATTCAAATGATATTTTGGGAATCGAGCAACATATATTTATTTTATCTATTATTAAAGAGGCAATTAGATGTACTGATATACCGTTTTCGTAGCGAACAACCAATAAAACTTCTTGTTATATTAAATTAATTTTACTAACGCTAATAATAAGTCCGTTTATGATTAGGGTGAAATGTTATCACCTCCCCCCAAAAAACCAAGCATATTAATTAGTATTTGTGTAATTTCTATTTATGTAAGAACGTGTGTACGTATGTGTGTGTGTAAAAAGGTATCTTATCTCGCCTATTACATTTTTTCAATATACCACTCACTGCTGCACAGTTTACCTCTCACCGTACAGAGTTTAGTAAACATCATCAAACAACCACCATCCATAATAGTTAAGGACGACAACATCATTAACCATACCTACACCGACCAAACGATATTGTTGTGTTGTGTGTGTGAGAGATATAGACATTAATACCACTACAGCTAGAGACGAAGAAGCAAGAGAACAAAAGCGAAAAAAAATTAAAGATAATAAAATAAAATAATTAAAATAATAAATCAAATTATAAAAATTTTAATTTTATTAAAATCGAATTTAGTATTATTATTATTACTATTATTATTTTATTTTATTTTAATAATTATAATTGCAAATTATAATTATTATTATTACTACTTTATTATTCAATCAAATGGCAAGTAACCAACCATTAATACCAACAACGACAACAAAAAAACAACTATCAACAGCTTCACAAGCACCAACAACAAATTTACACTCGATGCAATTCCCGGTCATCCATAATCAGTCACCTCAAACAAGGCCGCCACTGCAGGTATGTCTCTGTTTCTACCCGTCTCACTCTTGAGCGAGATAGGGTGAGAGCGTGTCGGTCAAATATATCAACTATTATGTTTTCGGAATTTTCATTTTACACGCGTATGTGGTTATATGAATGGCATGGAATGATGAAGACGTGTACCTGAATATTCCATGTTTGGTTTGTTTATTTTCCCTTTAAGAAAATATCGAAAAAAATAATTCAGTGAGAGAGAAGTTAGTCCAACATCGTTCGTATTTAATCAAATCATGCAAATCAATTCGGATCTTCACTTCATCTATATCTTATTTTCTGCTCGACGTCTTCCTGTTTGATTTATATGTATTCACCTATGTGATCTTCATTCATTCAGTATTCGCCACAACCTGAACAAGAAAAACGAAGGCAAAAATCATCGTCGCCACATTCACAACGACGAAAATCGGAAATCAATAGAAACAAATCGGAGGTTCAAAGGGAAAAAGAAGTGGGTAAATTAAATGTATCGTAAGAAATTCTTCGTGGCGTGCACCACTTTAATCACTGTTTTTACCGTAGAATCTTGAGGATTTGATGAGAAAATTCGGATCCCAAGCAAGAACATTGGATGAAATGGATAACGAGTCAGACAAGATTAAACGAAGCATCGAGATTCTCGCCTCACAAATGAAAGCAAAGGTTGGTATATTTCTTTTATTTCATTTCATCAATCATCTTCATTTCTAACGGATGTGAATTTATCGTATTAGCAAATGCATCATCTCTCCCCTTCACGACCACAGCAATTACAACAAACACTAACCACCACAAATCCACTTACAAGTCCACAATCACAAACCCAAACAATACAAAAAGAAGTGGGAAAACTCCACAACGAAATTAGTTTACTAAAAAGCATACTCACATTACTACTGTTACCATTTCAACTCGTGCTTCAACTTCTGAAAGTTATTTATCAAAGTTTGAATTGGAATTTCATCTTACTACTCGTTCTTGGTTTCGAGTTGAGCATCATTGTTCTCATCTGGGGGTAAGCAATAATACCATCATATTAGATTTGCATTTAAGTCGTACAAACATCTAATTTACGAATACACAAAATATAGACTTCGCAAGTCATATTACAATTCAGCATACGGCGATCCGTACGAAGCAGTAATTCACGGGACATTCGGTGCTGAACCATCATCGACGTGGTCCACCGTATTCTCGGGTGCAGTCACGATAATACAAGATTTTTTTGGTGAAGTGATGAATGGTGGTCGAGGATTCGGAAGTCATAGCTACAGTGGCCACGTACCGATATAAGAAACATACGTACACAGAAATCATATAACTCGTTTTTATAAATAGAGAGAGGAAGAGGAAAATTGAACGAATTAATTGATTAATTATTCGTTATCTTTTCTGGGTCGTCCTAGTGTCTTTCCGGGGTTCATGTGTTCGAAATATAATGACGAATTGGACGGATATATAGACACACATTTTAGACCTCCTGGGATTTCTCATCTTCTAACGTAATTTTATACATTACTCGCCTTTTTATAAAGAAGGAGTATACTAGAAATTTCTGGGGCAATTTTTCGAAAACGCCTCTTCCACTTTGTGATTTTCCCTCCACTTCAACCATGTAAATATATTACTTTTTTTACCTATTCTTTTTTGTACTTTTTTTCTCTTTTTAGATTGTTTTTCTTCTTTTTCCTTTTAATTTTAATATCTTGCACATAATATATACTTAATAACACGCACATACATTATTTACGTATATAATCCATACACACATATACACATTATACATATATATACACACACACATGTATATACACACATATACATAACCCTTCTTTCTCAAAAAACGGTTTCAAATCTTATCTATTACATGCATTTTTTGCATTATGTTGCTATTCTGAATCGTAAAGAAAAGTAACATTTTTATTTCCCTTTTTTTAAAAAAGAAATGTGAAAAATGTAAGTATGTGTGTGCATGCATGCGGAGAGCAACAATAGTTGATGGATGTTATCAAAGATTACGGACGACGACGTCGAAACTGCGGTTCAACCATTGGTGGTTGTGCACCAACAATGATAATGTTTGATGATTGGATAATCATTGATATCATTGTATGGAAGAAAAATAGCCGAGAATGCCAACATGACGAGTTTGATATCGTCGTTATTGTCTCTGCTGTTTGCTACCGTGGTTGAATGACGATTGCTCAGTGGTTTATGTGAAAGAAAGATTGCCGCAGTGATGCGTGTGAAATGCACTGAAAGAAATCGAGAAATTGGTAAGCATAGCATGCATATATATATATATGCTTTTAGTTATGTTATACTTTTTTTAACTCGCATACTTATATTTCCTTATAACTAATTAGAGTCATCGTCGGCAGCTTTTGATAATGTTTCTACATTTGAATATTTGTCAACTGGCTGGCTGACCGAGATAAAGACCAAAAGATGAATGCAAAATATTTGATTCGTATTCGATACATTGCGATAATGATATTACACCGAAAAGCTATTTTTCTGTATTTTCGTGTTCCACAAGCAATTTCAGTCAGTCAGTTGGTTTTTTAATATTCTTAATCGATATAGATATATCCTCTGTATATGTCCGTAAATATATATGTATAAATGTATATATAATATATATATATATATAGATAGATATATATATATATCTTTTATAATTCGCGTTTTTATTTTTATTTATTTAATTCTCACTTTAATTTTTTCTATTAGTTTCTAATTTAATTTTATTCTTTCTAATCTACACAAGCATAAAAAACACAAATACCCACGACGCGCACTTTTTAACAACTTTACGCGTCGTTGTCAGAATGAATGAAGGAATTGATTGTTTAACATATAATATCGATTTCATTTACATTTCGTGCATTAATGCGATTCAATTTTTGTTGATTGAATTATTTGGATTCATTCGAATTTTGTGTGCTTTCTTGATCGATTTCGGTTTTTTATCTTCTTGATTTTCCTTGAGAGTTCAACCTGCGTTTTTTCAAAATTAAAAAAAATTAAAGCGATCGCCTATTCATTCACTCACATGACATACTTTCAAAATAAATTTGATTTGACGTGAAAGATCTCCCATTTCCTAATCCTGTATTCTACAAGTTCTATCGAACGGGGTTCTCATCCGTGGGAGTAGATTAGAAAGATTAACCAAAGAGTGAATTGATGATGTTAGACCCATATCTGTCTAGTTATCTCATACACAGTTTATTTTGGTACATTCTTTTCAATCAAAAACGGTAATCGACCGACCATTTGAGAGTCCGAGTGTGTGTTAATTCAATAATAGGATAAAACAATTCACATGTAAGCATCGAATATCACATTTAAACTTAATTGAATGAATATCGGTTGATTTTCTATGTTGAAGATGATGTAAATCTCTATGTCATTGTATAATAATAAATTGTGTAAGGTAGCAAACATCTAATTTTAACATTGTCATTTTTGTACATCTTTTCCAAAAGTTCAATTAATATTCATCCAAAGGGGGATCCCTTAACATTGCCTGATCTGGTGTCCTCTTTTTATGATCACTAAACTCATTCGGTGTTCTCTGCCTAATTCCTTTTTCTTTTATACGATAGACATTTGGGGCAGCCAATAATCGATGTTTCATTTTCACCATATCAACCATTAAACTGTTCACCGGTGTCGGTATTCCGTATTTAACACCTAATCTCACCATATAGCCATTAACATATTCAACATCGGTGATACCACGATCTCTTATATTATGCAACATCGTGGACCAATGTAACGGGACTTTCTGACACCGTTGTTCCACCTGTTCCATAATACGACGTTTTCGCCACCGACTCGACGGACGTAATCCAAGTTCGACACTATGTCGATCCATAATAACTGAATTCTCCATACAGATCGCATCGATAACACGATTTGCGGGCGGATTGTTGACTAGTCCGTTATTTGTGATTGCGTAGATGGTGGTCAATGGTTGTACTACACAGTCGACCATTTGTTTCTCGAATAGCATTTCTTGTAGTTCCTGGTAGCTGACGTATTCTATTTGTAGTTCTGGTATTACAGAGAGCGCTCTTATGGTACTTTCCATACTTTTTGCTCGTATTAGATTAACTATTTCAGGATGTGCTTTTATGTAACTTGGATCTATATAAGAAGTTCTTAGTATTTCCTCTAGTATCTCTGGTGCCAATGATGTTGTAGTTGAGGATGTCGACGCTATTGTTGAGCCATTATCATCGTCATCGTCATCGTCATCTTCTTCTAATTCTTCCTTTGCTTGCTGTGTTTGACTTATTAATACGGGCTTATAATCAATTCGATCTTGATTTTCCTTTTTTACCTTTATTTTTAATTTCTTTCTTTTAGCTTCCAGTAATACTTGATTTGTCAATGGATTATTATCCGGTGAAGCAAAATAAATTTCCCCTTGCTTTACCAATTTAACATCAAAAGATCCCCGTTGAAACACTTCATGTGTTGTTCTAGCTAACAACAAATTAGGTCTCGTAGACTCATCCACAAAAAATCCTTTCACTAATTCCTCATAGACGCCCATCCCATTAGTTAACAACACAATAGTAGTCTCGGGGCCCATTCGATAAAATAGTCGTGCGATATTGCGACCAACTTTATACGGCGTAATAGTGACAATCAAACTTCGTATCCGATTCTCGATCAATTGTGGACCACGCAAAAATTTCGGGTTTATCGCGTCACCCATTTCAAGGTTTTCCATTGACTCACTATTGAGCATCGATGCTACGTTAATGACACCTTCTTCATCTTCGAGCTTTATCGAATATCCTCGTCTTTTGAGGATTGCTTGCTCTGCTGTGTCTCGTAGTAATAGGGTTACCTTGTGTTCTACTCGTCTTAAATGATGGGCAATAAAGCTGCCAATTGTATTCACTCCTAGCATGTGAAAATGTAGTCTCATTTCTGTCCTTGAGTCGAAAAACGCGTTCTCAAAAAAATATTTTTTCTTCGATGATCGAAGTTTGTTCAACATCGATCGATCTAACACATCACTATTTTTTACTTGAAAATCTCAATTTGCGATAAAAAATTTCTGTTTTGAGTCTATTCAACAAATTTATTGTAATAGCTGTGTTTGCAATATCCGAAAATCAGGCAACTTCATAGTAGTACTTAATGTTATCGTAGTTATAGTTCTTGTACTAGAAGAGATATTGTAATATCATGTTGGCACAAGAGAGCTTGAGGAAAAAAATGGGACGGTGGAATTGGTTTTTGAAGATGAAAGACATCTGATAATATATTTTCTTCAAGATGTTTAATCGTGATCAAAGAGGTGCATTTGACACCAACGCCTGATATCAATCGAGCAGATGTTATATGACGCGGTATGCTACATACATAATCTGACAATATTTATTTATTATTATCTATTCGTCTTCGCTTTCGGGGTCCTTAATCCAAAAAATATCAATCAGAAAAAATTTTGCAATAAAGAATTATGAAGATAGTAAATAAACTTACTGGACCGAATTGTTTATAATCTATCTTATTTCCTCGTGTTCGTCGTCCACCTTTAATAATAAGAGATGTATCCAGACCTTGAAGTTCTTCCCCTACAGTCAAACAAATTTAAAAAATTTCGGATAAAAATCCAGGTCTTTTTTGATTTATTTATTTTTAACCCACTTAAATCATTATCGCTTTCGGAATATTCATCTGAATCATTCTTTCTTTTCTTTTTCTTGGGCCTTTTTGTATCTTCATTATCGTCGTCAGTGTCTTCTTCTGAGGAACTTTCTTTTTTGGTCGCTGGTTTTTTTGATTTAGATTCGGGTGCGGTTTTCCTTGCCTTTTTATTGTATATTTTTGTTAACGGCATAAATTAGAATATTAATTGAACGGATAAACAAATATACTTTTGAGGTTTCTTTTTTCTTTGATGGTGCTTTCTTTGAACTTGACGATGTGGCGGCGGATTTCTTCTTCTTCTTTGCAGCTGCATCAGAATCTTCGGACTCTTCGGCAACATCAGAGTAAACTTGCTCTTCGGAATCAGCTTGGTCTTCAGATGGTATTTCGCCTTCTATTTAAAGAATGTAACTAAAATAAAATAGTAATGATAATCATATAGTATTAAAAAAATCCTTACCATCATCTTCTACAACAAAGTCCTCTTCATTATTATCGTCACTTTCGTCTTTCTTAGACTGACTTTTCCTTGAAGTAGCAGATGTCACGTTTCCTTTTGAAATCCTAGTTGAAGCCGGTTTGACTTTAGTACTTGTACTAGTATCGCGACCTTTCGTCAATTTTTTTCTTTTACATGATAAAACGATAAATAGAGTAGGAGAGAAAGAGCCAAGAACCGAACAAAAGCAAGTGTACAAAAAAAAAGGAATTTCATAAAATAGTAAACCAAAAGACTCAAAAAGTTTGTGCGTTTCAAAATGTATGTGAAAAACAGAAAAACGATCATGCTAAAACTCACAGCGCACGATCGCGTTTTTGCTTAGTACGAAATAGTTTAGAAAGAATATTATCTTCTTCATACTTTGATAAGCCTCCCGCTCCTTCCTCTTCTACCTCTGTTTGAGCTTTTCTTTTCGCAGCTAATTCCTCGAGTTTTCTTTTTTTATCGGCCTTATCGGACATGATTTTAGAAATTATTTCAAATCTAGATCAAGCGAGTTGCGCACGCGCGAATAAATCACAAGAAAAACCCCAGAAAAGACGTGGGCGTGTTGACTAAAAAGAGTAAAAGTCGAAGTGCGTGTACTTTTTAACGTTAACAACACGCGAAATAAATTCCGGACTCTTTCTGGATTTAATGCTGTTGATCATGGACGAAAATGTTCGCCTCGAGTGTAGTGCAATGATATGAAATTTCCCACCGCAAACGGGATTTTTTCGCGTTTATAAGAGCTAGTTTAGTTAATCACTGTTGGGTGCGCAGGCTTAAAGAGAAAAACATTATGGCCAATCTTTTGAAACGTTCTTTTACAAACAGCGCTGCAAAAGCGGCTGCTACTTATAATAATAAAACATTAACAATAGGTTTAATTCCAGCTGACGGAATAGGGCGAGAAGTAATTCCTGTAAAGTCGCGTTTTCTTTTCTCCACAATGCTCTTTATCCCGAATTAATAAAACAGAGATTATGTATACGCGCGTTATAAAATAGGCAGCAAGACAGGTACTCGAAGCTCTTCCGAGTGACGGGCCTAAATTTAATTTTATAAACCTTGACGCTGGCTATGAACACTTTAAGAAGAATGGCACGGCTTTACCAGAGGAAACTGTTGAGAGGCTAAAAACCGAATGCGATGGTGGATTATTTGGTGCTGTTGGGTGAGTGCGCGCAATTAAAGAAATTCTATGTCTTACCGGTCCCCTAATAAAGCTAACAATTCATTACGCAGATCTCCTTCATTCAAAGTTGCTGGGTATTCATCACCAATTGTTGGCCTAAGAAAGAGATTAGATTTATATGCGAACATTCGACCTATTGTTTCGGTCGCTTCTGATAACGTACCAAATCAAAAACCCGTTGATATGTTGATAGTTCGAGAGAATACCGAATGTTTGGTGAGATTGATTTATAAAAATTTGTTCCGAAAAAGAAATGTTTATTAGAAATTATTATTATTAATATGACAATGATATGGGTACATATTTATTAATCAGTTACCATAGAAAATTTAATCAATTGAACTGTCAATTATCAAATCTTGTTTTTATTTATTTTTTATTAAAGTATATAAAACAAGAGCGACAAGAAATCGATTCTTCAACTGGCCTCAAAGTCGCATGGGCTGATCGAAAGATCTCGGAACACGCATCCCGAAGATGTGGGAAAAAGGCATTTGAAATGGCCTTATGGAGAGGTAAGGTACGACAGAATATACCAATCGAAAAACGAGTATGGAAAGGAAATCCCAAAGTTACCATTGTACATAAATCGAATGTTATGAGTATTACGGATGGACTTTGGCGTGAAACAATACAAAATGTCAAGAAAGAAAATAGTAAATATGACAGTGTGGAGTTGGACGAGCAGTTGATTGATTCCATGGTGTATGTATGTGAATATTTGTAATATTGTCATAATTGTTCTTTAATATTCATTTAAATTTTTAATCTAGGTATCGTTTATTCAGAGAAGCACATCTATTTGATGTGGTAGTTGCACCTAACCTATATGGCGACATTCTTAGGTATTTTTTTTAAAAGATACATCATCCACGTCACGTTATAATAGTAATGATTTCTTATTCCTTCAAAAGTGACGGTGCTGCAGCACTAGTCGGAAGTTTGGGTGTGGTTCCAAGCGCCAATGTTGGTGATAACTTTGTAGTGGCTGAACCAGGTGAGCAAAAGAGCAATTTAAGATTTCAACGACGGTACTCTCTGTGCTCACCTATTTATCTATCGCTATTAGTACATGGATCGGCTCCAGATATCGCAGGTCAACACAAAGCAAATCCAATCGCCACGATTCGTAGTGCTGGATTACTATTGGAATATATTGGATTCCCGGAACAGGCTCTCCTAATTTACCGCGCAGTTGATAAAGTGCTGGTAGATGGAAAAGTGCTAACTATTGATTTGGGTGGAACAGCATCGACAGAACAAGTTACGGAAGCAATTATTAAGGAGCTATAAAGGAAACTATCGCCTTTGCTTTTATGATTTCATAAATTTTTTAATATTTCATAAATTTTTGTGAATAAATGTAAACAACTACATTCGTGTCCATTAACTGCTGGCAAATGATGAAATCTTTTGCTATGAGTAAAGTTCATTGTTTTATGTATCCATTTTTTTCTTACTCGAATAAATAAATGTATTTACTAAAGGAATTTTCTTTTAACTCAGAGATACAATAAATTTTTAATCAACTAAAAATTGCAAAAATTTGATTAGTCTATTATACAGACCTCACTAAATGCACCTAGTAACAAAGTGAAGACAAAACAAAAGGGCAGATCATGTGATTCTGATCCCGATGCCAACCATAAATTATAATGCATAGCGATAGTATTTCGGTTAGAGCTAGGTTTAGGTTTAGAGTTAAAGTTATTATATAGAATACAGTTAAAGCGAACTCGCGTTAAAACGAAGAACTTTCAGGAACCAACCTATTAACAGAGGGCTTGATAAAACGAAGAATAATATAAATAGTACTTTATAACGTTAAGCGAAGTTTATTTTTGAATAACCCGAGGCCTTCGGTTTATCGAACTTTAACTGTACTCCTACGTTTTTATGTATTTGTCCTTTTTTTTCTATTTAATAAAATAATAAAGACTTCGCTTTATGTGAAGTGGTTTCTAACCTAATAAGCAGGAACTTGAAAATTGGAATATTTAGATTTTTCATTTTACTAAGATGCAGCAATTTTATTTTTTTCTACAGTGAGACTTTAGTGGCTGAAACGGGACCATTTTATGTACACAAAAGAAAAAAATGCAATGCTACCTAAAACTTAATCAATAACCATCCTTTCTAATTCCTTCTTCGACTCTTCTTCAGGGGACAATGCAATAAATTTTGTTAAGTCTCCGTATATTCCCATAAAACCCAAAAGCCGATCTCCAAACACGATGCCAGATTTTGGGGGAAGCTCGTTAACTCCATGTAAAAACCGCTTTATAGTAAGCAAGACAAAGCATTCACAACCCTTAGCCTTCTCTAGTTCCGTTTTAAACTCTTTCAGGTCAACATCACCTGTAGATGTTTTATGGACAGGGTGACCTGATGCTATAGCAGCACTGAATTTATACTGCTCATCTGCATGTGGTGTTAAAGCGTCTGCTGACTTACTACGTTTACGAGTCATCACAATAAAATGACCTGTTGTGGTGTCTACAGTTTCTATCCTATCACTATTAGTATCTGCAATAACAGATACCTTTTCACGGGTTGTTAAATTGTTATATGTGAAAGGATGTTTAGGATCATTTTTTCTCATTTCTAAGATGGGTGCCGCTTTATATTCCACATTAGGATGAATATTAATTGTCCTAGATAATGTTTCTTCTGATGCCATGATGTACCCAAAATAAATATCTTTAATAGTCATGTTACGAATTCCAATCATTGCCGCCAATCTGTATGTTATCAGATGCATATGTATAATGAATATTGGGAAGGTGTCTTCATCTAGCCGTCTCAATGGATCTAAAATAATATCATCAAAGAAACCTAATTTTAAGTGTGAAACAAGAGATGCTATTAATATAAGAGGAGCTTTGATCTTATAGTGAGTGCCATCAACCGCCTCTAAATAAATAAGACCCCCAGCTTCATGATCCCTTATGGTACTGTTATTCAGAGCAGTGTCCTTGGTGATTAGCTTTTGAGTATGCACCCAAAACATCAGCTTCAATACGGCATGTCTACGTTTGACTTCTTTATTATCTTCAGGATGTTTTCTCCCTCCAATACTATCTAACCAGTTCTTAAGTGTATATCTCCTCTTTAGCCATTCAACAAGAACTTTCCAAATTTCTCTGGCTTGTTCTGCCGAAGTAAAAGAAACCTTCATTCTGATAAGTTCCTCAGCGCACTGTTCCATAATAACCGCAATTCCTCCAACGGCACCAATCAAGATACGATACAATGGATCTTCACGCGGGATTGGATTGATTTTTTTTGTTCTATATTCTATTATAGAATCCATAAAGTCAAGAGATGCTTTCATACCCATAGGCGACATATGTATGTCATAAATCATATAATTAGTCACGCTGGGGTGACCTGGATTATCTAATTCTTCGATTTTCGTTGGGGCTGTACCTGTGCAAATAGGTACAATTAAAGCATTAAGCTGTTTGACTTTTGCATCGGAAACGAGAGTAGAGATAAAGCGCAAAATAACAGTTGTTAAATATTGGTCGCGTTGGTATTCATCCAATTGCAAAAGTATTAAAAGTTTTGTTTTCTCAAGCATTTGGCAGAATTGCCGAACTGCTAGCAGAACCGTTGGTAAGTCCATAGCAAAGCCTCCTGCCAAACTTTTGAAGTGTGATAAAGACCGTGGCTTGTAGTTTTCTGTAAACAAATAAGTCGCAATTGCTAACGCCAAATGCTGACTTACAAGCTTTTCATGTTCTACAATGTGAGGATAACGTTTTGTAGATGGATCAAGTGCAGGATATTCACCAAAATTAACAATAGAAAAATCAACCTGAGTAAATATATGAATGACTTTAAAACTACCATCACCAATTTCATCAAAATCGCTGATCATATTTTTCGCCTCAAATCCATGCCGCGTTTTTCCAGTGCCAGAGCCACCTGAGATACTAATTCCTTGATAGTCATTTGGACGAGAGCTTTCTCTCATAAAAGCATCTAAATTATTTTGTATTCTGTCTCGAATGAACAATCGTATATGAGGCCTTTCGATATACTTATACATGGTTACTATATATTCATCCATTTTTTGCATCTTCAAACCAGCATTGATAATACTCTCCGTAGAAAGGGACGCTTCTTAGGGACAGAAAAAAATATCTTGTTTAGTGAAATCTCAAGCAATATATCGTAAATTTTCTTTCATTAAAGGATAGATTAATAATAACTATCAATAGGTTGCATTCATTACATTGACAAACTCAAAGTTACGAAACTATCTTTGTTCAAGAGGTAAACATTGGGAGACACTTACCAGTAGCGGGCGTTTGTACGATTATGCGGATGTCATTACTGGTGGGTATTTCATTAAAATATTCTCCAACAATTTTAAATGGAGACAACTCCACAACTTTGAGTTGTTCTTTAATATTTTCGGCATGTATTTTAATTTCCAAGTCTTTATCGTTGGTAGAAATATTCACCTTCCATAACCTCAAT